ATACAGAAATGTCAAGTGCAATCAACTTTTGTTATTTTATTTTGCTATGTTTTTAAAGGTTTTTATAGACAGTATACCGGTACCACATAATGTGTAAATGAGGCCTTAACATCATCCTCTTCTTGCCCCTCACTCAAGAGCAATCTCCATGACAACCAGAGTGATGTTGCAGGAGATGATGGATGGAAGGAAGAGATTGAGACTTAAAGTATATATTTATAGTACTCATTGGAATTAACCCATATTCCACTCAAGCGATTACTCATCCCGAAAAGGGTTGCTTGAATCTGTCTGAAACTGTACAGATCTTTTTTGAGTACTTGAACTAAAAAATGTTACTAATCAAAGGAAGAGGGAACATGTTTTTTAATTTTATTATATGTATACAGGCTTTTACATGGAATATATTGATTCTTTTAAAAAATCAAGGAATGAAACAGTATTAAGGTGCATCATATTATTCATGTGTGTCCTGCATATGGTCTAGATTCAAAGGAAACTAGGATACATGTAGTAAAAAAACTTATGAATTTAAGTTTGTATCATTTCATGTTTTTTAAACAAAGGTATTTATTGAATGTTAGGACAAATGTGTCATAAAAAAAAACAAGATATGTGTTACCAAAAAGGTGTACCTTCTGATAAAACTAAATGAAACACACATACAGTATGCCAGCCAAGGCTTTAGACATGTAATATCAGAAACAAGAGGGTCCTGCTATATTTCATTCTTAATGAATAAGTTTCTTCTTCTTCTTTTTTTTTTTGGGGGGGGGGGGAAGTCATTCTGAATTTAGGGGACTATTTGCCCTATGTGATCATACATATTTAACAGTAAATACACCTCAAAGAGTATATTGAGTTGAAGGGAGAGGGGGGAAGCGAAAGCAATACAAATATCTGTGTGACCTCTGAATGAATGTAAGAGTAATTGATCCAATCCTCTGTCATCGATGACTCAATTTGTTATAGATCTACAATTTGTTCTGTCACTCTGTATTCAGGCATCTTTAATGCCGGGTGTGTGTTCATACTCAAACTGATACAAACGCTGTTATTTGTGAGGCTACAGAAAGGGACCATGCGACAGCGATAAATACTCTGCCTTGGATTTCCGACATTTGTCAAATTCCTAACTTCAATCCCTGGACCCAATACTGTTCATGACCCTAATCCAAAAATTTACTTACAAAAACCTAATGGCAACTGAAGCACTTTGACAAAGTGACCCCAAATCTTTAAAGATTTGAAGCCAGAAGCAAAATGTGACCTAAGCAAGTGTCATCTCGCCATAATTTGGTCTATTACCATGGCCATTTTTAACGTAAATTATGGTAGTTGAAATGACTTGAAATCTTGGTAGTTAATTAGTCATAATTGAATTGAATTTAATTGAATTGAATTTCTTTATTGTCATGCACAAAATAAAATGAAGGCTTAAAAATCGTCTTACTGCTCACATTTGTATAAAATATAACAATACATTAACATATCATAGACAAATAACTACAAATAACATAAATAACATAACATAATGGTTAATTAGACAGCAGTACACAAAGTGAAACTCAATCCCTACCCTTCTCCCCAAAGTAAAATTTTAAGGGACACATCTTCAATTGTTTTCTTTGTGTTTGATATATATTCATATATGTTTATATATGTGCATAGATCCTTTTAGTAAGTAGATATACCGGTAGACAAGAAGCTTCTGTTGCTGATTGATAAGTCTCTGTACATTTAGATTAAACTAATTCATGCAAGTATTAGCTATATGTAGCAGTCTCTGCAAATATTTGTACAATCATATAATAAAGTATGCATTATTTTTCACACACATAGTTTAAAGAAATTTTAACCCTCTTCTGGTTGATCGTATCTGCCCATGCATTCAAATTGACGTAGTTAATGAGCTGTCATTTTAAATCTAGACCCTGTCAACGATATGTGTTGTTGCCTCCGTGTATGAACGCAGCCAGTAATACACGATAGAGACAGGAAACCGCAATCTTTCCCCCACAACTGTTCGAGCCGACCAGTTGTTTTAGTTGCAAGCAGGGTATGTTGTCATAACACAGAGAATGCCCATTGTGTGACCCGACCTTATGAACAGTAGATGGCAGCATTGCATGGTAGTTTGTACGCAATTTTTTAATGTCTTGTATCGTATCAGAAGGACAAGATCCTTGCAATCGCACTACTTGATACATGTAAGTCAACTATGCAAAGTCTGCATCATTTGAAAGCATCAACCGGGCATGGTGGCTCAGCGGTGAGAGCGCCTGCCTCATGAACGGGAGGTCGTGGGTTTGAACCCCGGCCGAGTCATACCAAAGACTTATAACAATGGGACCTTCTGCCTTCTAGCTAGGCGCTCAGCATATTATATTGGAGAAGGGTAGTAGTAACATATTATGTTATGCAGGGCCCGCTGGAAGAGCAGTTTGATAACTGAAATTGCTACCCTGGGTAAATTAAACTTTATAATTATTATTATTATTATCAAGGAAAGGATTCTGTCATTTTGTTTTATGAGGAATGGATCTCCTTGATGTTCAGTCTTTGAATGCTTTGCAACATCCCCCCTCCCTTTTTTTCAAATAATTCAATGAGTAATTTTGTTTCCTTCTCTCCTTCAATTAGTCACTGCCTGTATGACACTTGAACATGTGCTGTATCCTTTGAGGTGATTTTAGGTACCTTTAGATATCATTTTTTGTGAAGAAAATCACAAATTGTCAGTCTTTATTCAAAAAGTGACATCTTATATTGAACATGAATTTGAATCATTCATGTTTCTCCTGAAGAAAAAAAACACAATGAAAATACATGCGGATAAAATATTTGATTTATAGCACTCTAACTGATCAGAGATTGTCATCCTTAGATGTTAATATACTCATATAAAAACCCTTTCCTACTATTTAGTTTGTAAATATTATTATTCTGCTTATTCACTCAATAAATTTAAACTCTTATAGACAAAGGGTGCACATTAGTTAATATCTGAATGACTGACATAAAGAAAGAGGTACACATGGAAATCATGATGGCTTTTGATAATGACAATTATCTACAGATCAGAGCAGCTGTATTACATGTAGTAGGGCAGTGTCAGTTGTATGAATGAGCATTCATGGATCTTCATATCAATCACAGATAGTGACTCAGCTCCGTCTTTTAATCACCTATCATCTCCGGTAGTAACACCATCAAACATCTGTTTGGAGCCAGAAGGGCTTTACAGAGCTGCCAACCATTCTGTTTTTGCCGGAATTACTCCGTTTTTCCCTCCAAATTACAGTATTACGTTTTTTCTTCATAAAATTTTTTTTTTTTTAATTTTTTTTTTACATACCACACGTCAAACAACTGCCCTAAAATGGTAATTTGATCACAAATTCAACGGAAAACTAAATTTAAAACATACTTGAAAAGAAAAATATTCTCAAAAAGAATGAAATGCCAATAATACCAAAATAACCGCCAAAAAAAATTCCTGCTTGTATGAAAAAAACAGCATGATTTTTATGAATTCCTTTTTTTTGCTTGAAATTCCTTTTTTTTGCCATCTTGATTCCTTTTTTTGGTCGCACAAGGTTGGCAGCTCTGCCTTTACTTAATATACTTAAGAGCAGAGCTTACTCCCTTCTGGCTCTGGAGTGAATGAGAGAAGAACCATCCCCTCCCTGTCACTCCCCTCCGCGGCAGAAAACAGGTCTCTGGTTACCATGGCGAGCGTATCGCCACCAGCGTCTTGACGATGAACTGTGCCGCGACATGATTCACTTGAGAGGGGTAGACTGTCTTTGTTTTGGCTTGTCTGCTGGGGAGAGTGTATAGCCAAAGGGTGAGCTTGGGAAACACCAGCCCTTTCATAGTGGTTCAGCTTCCAATGGTAGAGTGTAGGGTATGTTGGTCAAGTAATTCTTATGAGGTAGGGGTATGTGTGAGGGGAAGGGGTATGGGTGAGGGGAAGGGGGTATGGGGTTAATGAGCCAAACAATTTATCAATACTATAATATTTATTGCTGTTGTACAGGTGGCCATTTTACAACTATATGTACACAGAAAAGTAATATAGCAAAGTCGACAAGGTGATCAATAATAGTAATAATAGTAATAATGATAATGATTCTGTACTTCCTGTATACGGCACACAAATTTGCCTGAATGAAGCATCCTTGGTGCACATGGTTGTTGTTGTTTTTGGCTTGTTTTACCTGACTGCTAAGAAAGCATTCACCTGTAAGCCTGTAAATAAATAACCAGGGCACCAACGGCTTCGAGTCCCGGACTTGATAATTAGGATTAATGCCTTACCAAAGACTAGCGCATCAACTTGGTTTTGAACTCAGGACCTCCCAGTTAGATCACTGCTCTACCACTGAGCCACCACGCCTCCTCTTTTATCCTCTCCTTCCCTCCATTCTCTCCTCACATGCATACTTGATTTACGCCATGGCCTAAGGATATGCAGAAATGGAAATTAATCTAGATCAATTATTTCATAGTGCTGTACATGAGCTAGAGGTGAAAGGTCAACATACTGTTAGAAATCCTGTCTGGCTTGGCTAGCATGGTGTCCGATTCCTATATCTTCAAGTTAATTTCCCTTTGTTGTCTGCGAGAGTAAGAATGAAAAATACATTTTCCTTGTTAAAAATGTAGATGTAGACTCCTATGTAATGGTACGCTTGTGCATATCAACTGTGGTAAGTGAAAGGTTGAGAGTAAAATTTGGTGCACAAGTGAAGTTTTCCATGCAGGATTATTATGTATTTTATGTATTTTTTTTTCTTACTAGATTGTTTGGTTGTGGTTGTATTAATATTCTGGGGCAATATTCTGAAAACAATATCTTTCATAAAATCAGTGTGCTTATGCAGATGTCTCCTAACTTCATGTGAATTCAGCCAGTTTTGCACAGACATTAACCAATGACTTACCCCATTCTAACTAACATAAAAGGTAAACTCATTTTCAGAATAATACCCCAGATGTTTCCTCAAAGATACACACGTAAGACTCATGATTGTCTCTGACAAATTTTTCTTTCTTTTTAGATGTTGAGGTGTGTCTATGAGTGTGCATTTTTTGTATTCAGATTTTAAACTTTGATTTTGTTTTCTCTCTCTTGCTCCCTCACCCCCTTCTCTCTCTCTTTCTCTCTCTTTCTCTCTTTCTCTCTCTTTCTCTCTTTCTCTCCCTCTCTCTATATATCTCTCTCTCACTCTCACTCTTTCTCTCTCTCTCTCTCTCTCTCCCTTTCTCTCTCTCTCTCTCCCTTTCTCTCTCTCTCTCTCTCTTTCTCTCTCTCTTCTCTCTCTCTCTCTTTCTCTCTCTCTCTTTCTCTCTCTCTCTCTTCTCTCTTCCTCTCTCTCTCTCTTCCCTCCCCCCTCTCTCTCTTGCCTCTTTCTCTTCCCTCCCTCTCTCTCTCTCCCCCTCTCTCTCTCTCTCTTTCTCTCTCTCTCTCTTTCTCTCTTGTATATAGGTTTACCAGTACATTGGGTATACGATCAGGAGAAGCTAGCAGCGGAGGTTTCCAAGCATCCCACCCCGGAGTTCTTACCCGAGGGCATCTGTCCCTACTACAAGCTACCAACGGGCAAGAACAGTGCCTATGGAGACCATCTATATGTGCTTCTCAAGTCAGTGGTTGAAAGCAAAGGTAACACTCTATTAAAGGGATCTGGTAACTTTGTCTTAGATTCTTTAAACAAATCCTTGACTTAGCTCATGCTGCAATGATAATTATAAAGCTTTAGGTCAGTCAGGAGCCCCATGACTTTTACAAGCCGATCGCCTGTCTGATTATCAAGATATTTATGATTGAAAATCGTAGGGCCGTGCATCTCAGATTTAATATTGTTAACAATCCCTTTAAAAGTTCTTTCATGTTTTCTGATGAGATCATGAGAGCCAAAAGGGCATTAATACTTTATTAAAGTAAAATATGAGTATGTGAATAAATAACCTACAGGCTTTGAGCAGATGATATTCATTCTCTGTAAGATTCAGTCATATACTACACAAGATATCATACCTGCAAATTTAAATCGTCAGAGCAAAAGGGGTAGTTTTATGGTGGGACAAACCCCCTTAACTGGATCTGCGGAGATTTTTGTCTGCTTATTCAACAATTTGTGGTTTCTCTCTTCCACATTTGAATAGAAAAAATTGGCTGGTACAGTTGAACCTGCTTTAGTGACCACCTGTATAGAAAGATCACCTGTCTATAAGGACCATATTTCTTGTTTCCCTCAATATGGGTTCTCATTGCAATCTATACTTAAGGAACCTGTACATACATGTAAGACCACCTGCCTGTGAAGATCACTTATCATGTTTCCCTTGAGTGGTCTTTATATACAGGTTTCACTGTATAACATACATTTCTTCACTTTTATGTGAATTAAAATGCAAATAAAAACATTGTACTCAGTAGAGCTGTAGGCAAATTGAAGAATTGGTAAAATATTTCATGGTAATGAGAAAATAAGTAAAGCCACTTACAGTTATTATCATTATTATAACTATCATATTCATTTTGATCAATTGCTTTTATACCTTCTTGCAATATAATACAAGATAGGAAAGATATTGAGAACATTTTTTTATAAGTAGCATACAATGTTCATTGCAAATCATTTTTCAAGCGAAATTCAACTTTTTTGCTTTTACATCTCATGAAGATATGAACTTACTGCACATAGATACCGTAAATCCCAAAGCCTAAATCTCCTATGCACCATCCTCAACACAGATTTATAGATTGTAAAGTTCACCATGATATTGGGTTGGCATCTATGATGGATAATGGTGCCTCTACAGTAGATCGCTGTCTAGACCCGACCATCCCTCATGCCGGCTCTTTTGAATCTGAAATGATATTTTATGAGATATGAGGAAGTTAAGAGAAAGGCCGACCTATTAATCTTTAATAATGGCCCTCTCTTGTAGTATAATAATAGAAGATTTAATGAAAACTGTATCGGGCTTGTCTCTAGGAGCAAGGGTGGAGTGGCTAATAAGCATTTGATGTACTGGTACTTGAACTTGGACTGTATATTAAAGAGGATTTCTCTGAAGATCTGAAGGAATAAGTTTTTTCTCCTGACTTTCAATTTTTTATTACACTGGTACTTGCATGTAAAATTTTCAGTGAGATCGTATGAATAATTAATGGTGTTTTTTTTTGCTGTTAATGGTGTAATTATTCACCTTCTTTAATTTATTATGATTTTAAAATAGTTATCCTTTTTCTTCTTCTTCTTCTTCTTCTTCTTCTTCTTCTTCTTCTTCTTCCTCCTCTTCCTATTTGCTTCCTGTTCTTGTTCCTCTTCCTCCCCCTCCCCTCCCCTCCCCCTCCTCCTGCTCCCCTCCCCTCCCCTCACCCCCTACCCTCCCCTCCCCTCCCCTCCCATCCCCTCCCCTCCCCTCCCCTCCCCCCCTCCCATCCCCTCCCCTCCCCTCCCCTCCCCTCCCCTCCCCTCCCCTCCCCTCCCCTCCCCTCCCCTCCCCTCCCCTCCCCTCCCCTCCCCTCCCCTCCCCTCCCCTCCCCTCCCCTCCCCTCCCCTCCCCTCCCCTCCCCTCCCCTCCCCTCCCCTCCTCCTCCTCCCCTCCCCTCCCCTCCTCCTCCTCCTCCTCCTCCACCTCCTCCTCCTCCTCCTCCTCCTCCTCCTCCTCCTCCTCCTCCTCCTCCTCCTCCTCCTCCTCCTCCTCCTCCTCCTCCTTCTCCTCCATTCTTGTTATGTTTACTAGTACCTTGGTCATATTTCATAGTAATCAAAGCAGTAGTTAGGAACATCACATGACACTTGATGATCAACCCAATATTTGGATATGCTATTTGCATACTCTAGCCCAAATTTATCTCCAAAGTAGTACTCAAGGGGTTAAACTGCTTCTCCATCCTTTACCAGGTTTTGATGTTGGAGCATACAAGGCAGGGTTGAAGGCCATGTTTGGCCCGGGGTCAGCCTATGACTACCAGAGGCCATCTGGTCAAGCGGAGGGACCGTACATTCATGGATATATGAAGAAGTACTTGGCGAACATCGCCCAGGATAAAGAGGACACCGGAGATACAGGCAGTACTGATGTAAGTTGAACAGTCTGATGCATGCTAGGGATGGGTAGAGATTCTCTTTCTTTCTTTTATTATTATTTTTTTTAGGGGGGGGGGAGGGAGGGAGGGAGGGAGGGGGCGTCAGTCAGATGAGTTACAAGATGTACAGTTAGACAGAATTATTTTTTTACTGTTAAACGTGTTAATTAAGAACAAAGTTTGGAAAAAATTTATGTAAAACTTCTTCTTGAATATTGCATTTCTTTTATTCATTTACTGGGTATTCATGATTACTAAAACAGTAAAAAGAGGAAAAAATGAACAAATATTTTGTTTTGTTCTCGTTTGTTCTCCTATTCACCACATTTGACAGTACTTTTAAAGAGTGCAACTTAATTCATTAAAGACTTATATTCAATAATGTAAATGTTTTATATGAATGAATAATGAATGCCAAAAGGTACTTGTCCAAGAGAATTTTGATTAGTTATTCCTGTAGATTATCGTTACTTAACATTTTATTTGTATCATTATCTTTGCTCATCAAAATATTAAATTCAACAAATTCCCACATTTATTTTGACGTTTCCAGGATAATGCTTGAATACAAAGATCAATTTAACAAGGTCATGTTCATACAAACTTGTAGCATATCACGTTTTGTTCAGTAGTCTTCCATGTGCCAATTCAGCATTCTAGTAGGACGTTCACTGTTAACTTGCTTTAGACGTGACATAAATTAATGATCCCATTTCAGCTTATTGAAATGGATAAGCCATGTACCTGCATGTAGCTAGCTAGCTGTCTGAACCATTTTACCATGCACCATGGATATGAGCTGTTTGACATTTACAGATTTTCCCGGATATGAAATGCCATACTTTGAAATGTGGTCTGCTTTTTAATGACATAGAGATGATACTTGATGCCTGATAATCATTATGTTTTTTTCTATGTACTGGAATCATTTGTAATCACTATTTCTAAATGTCATTTGAGACTGTAGTATATTATAGGGCTGATGGCATATTTTTCAAGACTTCATAAAACAGGATATAATCTTGTTTTCTGTTGCTCATTGCTCCCCCTCCTTTCCTCTCCCTCTCTCTCCCCTGCCCCCCTCTCTTTCGCTCTCTCTCTCTCTCTCTCTCTATTTCTCATTGTTTCTCATTATTCCGTGCACCGTACAGTGCACACCTTTGTTTCTTTACTTTTATTTCTTCAATTTGTCCTCTCTCATTCATACATTCTAATCTATCCCCCCACCCCCCATCTCTCTCCCACCCCCATCTCTCTCCCACCCCCATCTCTCTCCCACCCCCCATCTCTCTCCCACCCCCCATCTCTCTCCCACCCCCTTCTGTCTCTTTCATCTTCTTTCCCTGTCTTTTCTCACTGTCTTTATGCCATATCTCTTTCTCTCCTCCTCCTTCACTCTATCTCTTTGTCTATGTTCTTATTTCTCTGTCTAGACCCCTTTCTCTCATTCCCATTAAATTACTCTATCTTTCCCCCTCTCTCTCACACTCTCACTCTCTCACTCCATATACATGAACACCATCTAATTCCATGTTTAATAGAGTACCGAAGTGTGACGTCATATCGGCTAAGTTGTCAAGGTTGCTAGTTCCAAAATTTTGTTATGCTAAACAATGGCGTGGTGATCACACCAGCGCCAAACACTGAATGTGCCCTGCTACAGCCCGTTGCTTGAATGATTTCATGGTGAACCTCATGCGCAGGCTTTGTTGTTTGGAACCAGTAACCTGGACGACCAGCGAGCATGACATTAGCACTTCAGTACTCCATATTATGCTACCAATCAGTATTACCAATCCAATTTGTTCATCATAACCCTGCCTTGTAATCAACAGAAAGTCTATAATACCTTCATATCTTCCCCAGATATGCATTTAATGGATAATTCTCTCAGGAAATTGTTTATATTTTATAAACTGAAAAATTAAACTATTTAGTTGTTATCCATTCCCCCCCCCCCCCCCCCATTTTGTATCCATATTTCTTGTTTTCTCATGCCCATTCCTGCCTATCCCTGTTGTAAGTCACATTCCACTATGTACATGTAGAAAGGAAAAGGGAAATTCCCAAAGGTGTTTTGCAATGTAACAGCTGCTGCACACATGTCTTGGTTACCATCTCACCCAGTTTTACAGCAAAGTGGTTTACCACAGCATTTTTTTTGTTAGTGTGAAAGAATCTCGATCTTCACCAAACTAAAATGAATTGATGTCCTGTTCTGAATCAAGAAATATCTTTCAAGTCAGCCATAGTTAGGGTCAAAGGTCAGGGAAATAATGACATAACATTGAGAGAAGGGATTGAAAGAACAGCAACAAAAGTAGACTTCAAATTTGCTTATCACTGAGAATGAAAATATAACATTTTTCTAAACATGTCTGCAACCCTTAATGTAAACTATCTGCTTCAAATGAAAGGCTTGCAACAATGAGAGAGGGATATGTCTCATACTCTGCATCCAATGTCAATTATCCATAGTAAGAAACACCGTTAAAAGAAACACTTTCATGGTTTTATAATAGAAGCGTTGATATGAGAGACACGTTCTACATGCCCGTCCTGTGTCGCCCCTCACCCGAGGATGAAAAAGGAAAATAGAGAGAGAGAGTTAATAGGCCTGTCTTCACTAGCTCGAGATTGCCAAATATCCCGCTATTTAAACAATCCCGATCCGCAAACTATCCAGCTTATTTGCGTCTTCATCAGCCCGAAGTTGCAATTAGCGGGGATATCTTGGGATAGTTTGCAAAATATCACACTATTTGGCAAACTATCCAGCTATTTGTCCGGTGCCTCACCAGACCGAAGACTCGCAGTATGCTATGCGCGAACGCTGAGCAAATATCTCGAGCTAATTTCTCAAGGTCGAGTTTCAAGTTTCGAGGTCGAATCTCAAGCTGATGAAGATGCAATTTGTAACTTCTGGATTATTTCCAAAATCAGAAATAGCGGGCTATTTGGCAATCTTGAGATAGTGAATACAGGCCTAATGAGGAGTGTAGAGCCTGGAAGGCTTAAGCGTATGATGTATCGATGTAGGAAGCTCTTAAGATAATGCTTCCCTGGAAGAAGGGGCCCTGTAGGGGTGTATGATTTATGACGACGCCCCGGGAAGAAGAGGAAATAAAGATGAATGACTGGCGAGTAAAGAGAGATGAAGAAAACTGCCCTCCATTCATCATTTCCACACACCTATAAACAAAGGACAAGTTTCTACCATTCATTGACATTTACATTTACATTCACCAAATTGATCATTAGGAATTGGCATTCCGTTTTTTTTCCCTCTCTCTTTCTTCCTTTTCCTCTCTCACTCTCTTCCTCTCTCTCTCTCTCTCTCTCTCTCTCCCTCTATCTCTCTCTCTCTATCTCTCTTGCTCTCAATACCCATCGTATTACATTCCTCTATTTCAAAGCCCTGTTTCAAACAGTGACAGATTTTCTCACTCTTTCTCTCTCTCTCTCTCTCTCTATCTCTCTCTCTCCCTCCCTCCCTCCCTCCCTCCCTCCCTCCCTCCCTCTCTCCCTCCCTCTCCCTCTCCCTCTCCCTCTCCCTCTCCCTCTCCCTCTCCCTCTCCCTCTCCCTCTCTCTCTCCCTCCCTCCCTCCCTCCCTCCCTTTCCCCTCCCTCCCTTTCCCCTCCCTCTCTCTCTCTCTCTCTCTCTCTCTCTCTCTCTCTCTCTCTCTCTCTCTACCAACCTGTCGCTATTTACATGTATATGTACTGACCTACTTATTTATTGATCTCTAAAGCATATAAGATTCATAAAAAGCTCATCGATGAGGCAGGCCTTAAGGTTTTCAACCTGATCGATGAAAGCATCTTTTTTGTCTGCTTCTTTTCAAAACCTCAAGCGATGTGGTTGTAGATCTTTAACCTCCTTGAGTGACTATGTTTGGTGCCATTATTATTGCGCCCAATATCGGAGATGAGAGATGGTAACGAGCAACATAAATAGGGACCATTAAGATCCCAGCTCAATTATCTTGCTCCCCTTCCTCCTCCTTCTCCCCCCCCCCCCCCCCCCCCCCTCCTCCTCCTTACCGATCATACCCAGTCCTGAACTCACCCTGCATTTCTACTAGATCAAGACATTTGTAGAAACCAGCCATTAAGTGGGAATGTCTTCAATACACGTTATGTATTTGTATCTTATTTACATGTATACTTGTACAAGTGTCTATGGCTAATCCTTGTCCAATTTCCTCTTTTAAATTGTTAGCAACAGTATGTGGAATCTTTCATCTTTATCTTCATCTGCCTATTCCTTTTTCCGTAAAGTTTCTTTGTTTCCTTGTATTACTCTTTCTGTCTTTGTCCTTCTCCTCTGCAAATGGGGACACTTTCCATGGTTCACCTTATAAACATGTCTTTTGTTTGGGTTGATGTGGCCTTTGTAAGCTAACCTCCATCATTCATAACTCATAGCGTTATTTCATCCTCTTCCACCTCCTCCTCCTTTTCCTCCATCTTTTCTTCCACTGCGGAGCTCACCATGTTGCCCCATTCATTAATGTCTGCCGATAGTCACATTGTCTCTCTGTATCTTGCCTCAGCTGGCTTAGAGGCGACAAGGACTCTGGTAAATTTGACGATCCTTCGCCATTGCTCCCAAAGAACGGCCGCTGGCTAATTGGGCTAATGCCCCAAATGGAAGAGGAGCTCTTTCCATGTGAGAGGGGGGGGGGGGGGGGGAGGGGAGTGCAGAAGTAAGCTTGGTGGTCGGAAGTGGAGGGATGATGGATGGATGGATGGATGGATGGATAGATGGATGGTAGATAGAGGGATAGAGGGATAGATGGATGGATGGATGGTGGATAGAGGGATAGATGGATAGATGGATGGTGGATAGAGGGATAGATGGATGGATGGATGGTGGATAGAGGGACAGAGGGATAGATGGATGGATGGATGGTGGATAGAGGGACAGATGGATGGATGGATGGATGGATGGTGGATAGAGGGATAGATGGATGGATGAATGGTGGATAGATGGATGGATGGATGGATGGATGGTGGATGGTGGCTAGAGGGATGGATGGATGGTGGATAGAGGGATATATCGATGGAGGATTTGTGGGTGGAGAGACCCCATGGCATTGACTTGTGAGGGAATTGTAATAATGCCTTCCCTGAAGAGCTTATACCGTGTACTGAGAATCCAAAGGGTGTATATACCCTTGTCACACTAAAGATGACAGACCAAACAGAAGATGACATTACCTGCACATGGCCAACAATTGGTCGGTTTAAGTCGATTTGGATTCATGTAGCATTGCCTTATTATCATTTTACATAGAGTTAATGCTCTTCTGACTCTAAACAGATGTTAGGATTATTTTTATTTATTTATTAAAAAGAAAACAGGGTAGCCCATTCAACAATAAGTTGGTCTCCCATGGGGCCCTGTGAGCATATACAAATAGAAGCATAATTAAACAATCAACATAAACATAAACGTAATATAGAGTAATAAATGAAGAGAGAAATGGCAAGTAAACAAACGAACAGCATTTGAAGAAACACTAAAATAACAGAAATAACAAAGTTTTTTAAAAAATTAGACCTTAAGCATTACGAAAACATAGGGAAATATTGCATGTGGCCGATAGATGGATGCAAAGATCATACATGAAATGAAGAAAGGGGGCTGCTAAAAATGTCATACATATAAAGCTCATTAATCATGCTCGATATTAACATATTCTCTACTTCCATGCTATTATTGGCTTTAATTCATTAATGATTCATCGGTATTAGGACAAACATCTCAAGCTAGAGATTTATAGGCAAACATCATTAATAATTCAGTTTAGTTTGCATATTAAGCATCTGCCCCCTGCCTTGGCTTTTTCCCACTACCGGGTATCTTTAAATTGATACCTTCCATATCAACGTAATATCCTACTTATCTCACTACCACAATCCTATCCTCCTTGATGTTTGATGGAAGTTGTAACCATATGTTGTTGTGTGCCCAGCAAAAAGGACCCTACCACTAATTTTGGTCTTGTTCATTAGTTTTTTGCTATTACGTACTTTTGTAAGAAATAATAATTTCTTGTGAATGAAAAAAAATTGCTGTAAAATGTTCACAATTTAGATGTGTACAAATGGTAATGTGTTTGATATTTGCGGTAAATGTAAAGAATGGCTATAAGTCAAGTGTGTATGTCTAGCAATGTACATATGCTGGTCGTTCATCTGTTTGTACCCATCTTGCCAGTCACATTATATGTCACTGGTTCACATAAAATACAGTTCTGTGAAATTCCAATAGTGATACAGTATCTCTTGTAATTGTGATGATTTTTACTTGAATGTATCTAAGGGAAAGTAGAGGTAACCTCCATAGTTCCAAAAGATGAACAAAAAGTGTTTCCATGAAAATTACAATACATTTCAATACCTTTTTTTACCACAAATTTAATGACAGTTAATTCTCCCTAAATTCAAAGTCGTGCAAGTTAAATTTTCCCTAAAGTCAAATCAAGTATTTTGACCTAACTATGCAAAACATGTTATTTACACTTCCTACATCAAATTTTGCACTTTAAGTAAAACTATTTTTTGGCGGTCCCAATATATTCAGCTTCTGTAGAGTTAACTGTATTGACTTTTATTGAGAGATTTAACATCACATACATCTACAATTTCCATCCCAATTAATAAAGCAAATTGCCTGATAACAAAACATGACAGTGGACAACGAAAGAGCATCTACTCTAATACGGATGAAATATGCTTTGTCTCAAGGAGAAAGGCAACTGTTTTCACTGAAGGTGTTCGACCATAGCCGAGCAAGCTGTGTTTGTCAAACCCTTCGCTATCAACACGCTCATGATAAACGATGAGATATTTGCAAGTCCATTCCATCTATGTGTGGAAAGCTCTCAATCATATCGTGGCTTGGTGCAGGTCTAATATTCCATTTGTCGCCACCCTGAAGCGTCTGTTTTGATGATGCATGATTGCCAATACCCACACTTACACATTCTAATGAGGATAAGTTTACTCAAGTTCTCCAATCAGTCCGAGTCCATTAATGAAAAGCAAAATAGACTCGTATAAATGACAATGTATTTCTTTCTAAAAGAGATCATTGGTACTACAACATTGAAAATATAGCAGTGAATATTCATTGCTATTTTTTCATATTTTTTGTATGAGATGATTCCTTTTTGTACTGTTGCATCAATAAGTTAGATGCACATTTATCATCGTTGATAGAGCATGCGCAGAACAAAGTATTGATTAAGCATTTCTTTGAGAGGAATTTTGTTATTTATTGTATATAAAAGATAATGGAACAAGTTGTACAGTTTGGCATAAGAAAATCAAGGAAAAGACAATTCTTTAAAAAATCTTTGGATTGAATTCCCATGTTGCACATAATGAAATCAAATAACATGTTCATTGCTTATGTTGTGGTACAAATGACTCAAGAGGGAAACTCTCAAATACAAGATAAAGCACAGAGAAGTCTTATGGGTATGTAACAATATTGGGATTATATTGTTCAAATAAGATTAACTATTGAAAAGGGAAACCAATTTGAAGGCATGTTGTATCCTACAATATTTTGCCAGAATAAAAAGAACATAAACATAACCGAGAAAAAAAAGGACGATAAGCATGTTGCAGTATCCTGAGATTAAAGAATGTACATTACAGGAATGAAATCTACTTACAAACTCTGATGCACTTATAAAGCTCATGGGACATACACTGTTTGCATCTTAGCCATAATGCTCATCCCCCTTACATGATTTAGCTGCTTCCAAAGCCATGTATACAACACCTTAGAGGTATGACTCAGCCAAACTAAATGATCAGATTTGCTCACTCTGTCGTGAACCTGTTCAAAGTGGTCCCTAGTGTGGTGTCGGCGGGTGTTTGGCTGCAGCTCTCTCAATCTTTTATCTGTTTTCTTCCCCTTTTTTCTTCTTTTTGTTCATTCAGCAGATGACATGGAAGAATTGTTAAGATGTTGAGTCATTTATCTTTGTTAGTCTAGTAGACTTTCTATTGGAATATGGACATTTTTACATTACTGTGAAAAAGGCTTGTAGATATAAGCCCTTTATATCTCATGTAATCTAATTATTGTGTTCATAAGAACATATATAAGTCATGCTTAGTTTTGGCAAATGCTGATGTGTATGATGCAAACAAGAGATCAAATAAAGTCACTTTGTTGCGATAGGAGGAATCTTTTTTTGTTGTTGTCTTACCCATGTTAACATCACTATATGGAACATGCAAGCATGGGTTATTTAATACATGTAGATATCACTCTTTAAGAGGGTGGGGTGGGGGTGGAGGGAGGGAGCTGAAGATCTTGGTAAGAAGTGAACCCAAATTCTGACTTCTGATTATTCACAATAAATTTGATAGGTAGTCAAATGAGAAGTAACCTTGTCTTTAGAGAGTATTTGGAGAGTCTTTCACCACTAAGGAATATACTTTATTTTTAGAATGATAATTAGGCTTCTCCCATCTCCTCTTCAAGGTAGTGGGATAGGACTTTTGAATATTGGTGTTCTTTCTTTGGCTATTTTTTCAATTCCTGAAAGTGAAACTATAAACAGGACCAAGTATTGAAGTATTGATTCAGTTTCTCCTGATACAGCCCCCTCAGCTCTATTACTGCTGCATATATGGGCAATTCCAGCATAAGTAATGGACATGAAATTCAAATTTGGGGTGGCTATTTAAGACAGTTTTTAACAAAATTAAGTGATTCAGTGATTCAGACCCATTTGACTTTCAGTCACATATATAGCAATTTTCACAGTATTCTAATGAATGATTGAAAAGAAAATTATTTTCTAACCATAACCAACGTGACACAAAATGGAAAAAGATTATTATTAACTCACTCTTATAGTTTAAAAAGCATGTTGAGCTCTTTTGTTTGATACAAAATGTATCACAGTAGCACACATATTTCTATAGTTATTACTCATTTTATGATATTTTGGGGGGCTAGTTAACATTTTCCATGGAATCCGTGTTCAATTTGATTTCGTTTGATGTTGATGATATTAGAGACATTAATGGTATCATATGCTTTACAAATTCAGATTATTATTCATTTTTATCCTTTATCTTCTCAGACTGATGGAGTGATCAATTCAGCCGTAATTGTCGCCCTCTATGGCGGTGACCCTCAGATGACCTCCAAGCTCGAGGAGGCGGTCAAGGTAGTGCAGAACACACCCATCTGCATCAAGTACGCCCTCACAGGTCAGATTAAAGGCATCGTTTAATAATGTTAAATCTGAGATGCATGGCTCTACGTGTAATCAGTGTCTGTGATATGGTGTAATATTGAAGCCCTACAAAAATTGGCTTCAAAATGATCATGAAGTGCCTCAAAAAAGTAAAAATCTTTGAGGGGCAGGTTTTTACCATACTCTTTATTCCGAATAGACTGTAGTGTTATGAAAACCGTTAGGAAAATGAAAAGTGAAATTTCAATTTCCAATCTTAAATATCTTGATACCGGTAATCAGACAGGCTTGTAAAATTCATGGGGTTCCTGACTGACTTAAAGGTTTATAATTATAATTGTAGCACAAGCTAAATCCAGTATTTTGTTTCAGAATCTGAGACAAAGTTACCCAATTCTTTTATATCAACATGTACTGTTCATGATATTAGGGAGTTTTCGCACTACAGCGGAAAGACCTTGAACATTTGAAAGCGATCAACCGTGACGGAACCCACACTTGATCGACCATCCCAATATCTTTCAGTGTCACTTGATTGCGGATGGGAACATTGCTGTGCATACGTGACACTTGCAGCTGACAAAAGCGCTGATTGGCCGATAAAATTGCTTCGCTCTTTCTCTAGACCGGGTGCTTAAGAACCATTCTAGATTTCCACATGACAGCTAGGAGGGCTTTGTGCAGATTGATTTGACGGCTCAGCTTCCCGTTCTCTCATTTTTCCATCTTGCATATGAAAACTCCCCATTGGTGGCCCAAAATACAAACAACAAACAACGTCAGTTTCACAGACTTCTGAAAAGTTTTTATAGAGTTTAAAAGACGAATGGCTTATATAAGATCACATAGAGACCAAAGAAGACAGTGTTGTTAGCAAACTACTGTATTTTGGAGGCAGTCAAGCCTTTTTTCAATATTCCATTAAATGTTATTTCTTCTTACATTTTGATATTTGCATAAATCTGTACAATGAATTTACAAAATCTTTCTTGCTGTCTGATCTAGGTGCTAAGCTTCTTGAAGGATTGATCATGAACGGACCCAACCCTAATGCAGTGGGAGACCTGAAAGGATTGGTAGATAATGATGTGGCCCAGGAAATCAGCAAGGCAGAGGAAATGAAGGTTCACCCTCACAATGTCGCTGCAAAGAGACTGGGATATGCATGTTGTAAGGCCAACTCTCATTCTCATATGCTTCATGTTGTATCCTCTCTCCTTCTGTTTCTCTCTTTGATTTCTTCTTTTCCATTACTTCTCACACTTTCTCTTTTCTCTCTCTCTCTCTCTTGCATTGGTCAATTTAACCCATAACCTACTGGAAACAGGTGGTTTCTGCATTAAACTTATTCGAATAATAATGATATCAATCATTTAGGAGCGCTAAAAACAAAAAGTACCATAGCGCTTATAAAATTACAGAATGTGAAGAGAAACATGAATACATAGACTCATATAAAAAGGTAAATCGGTTACGTTACTAAGGGAAGAAATATGTTTTAAGGGGTCTTTTGATACAGACAGGACAGGTTAATGCTCTGATGGAAAGTGGGATAATTGTTCTATGTTTTTTTAAACGTTTTTAGGTAGATGAGAGTCTGGATCCATAGTTTATATTTGTCAGTTGTTGAACAAATGAGTTGTCAATGGTTTAACATGATATAATTTTCTTTCATTTCTGATTTCAGCCCTTCCAGGAGGCTTCTTGAGCATGCTGCACTGTCTGCTGAACGCCAAGCCAGGGAAGTTCACTGAGTCCATCCGCCCGACCCTCCTAGCGGGAGGAGACAACTGCTCCCGTGCGGCGATGCTTGGGGCCATCCTAGGGGCCCAGATGGGTCTGGAGGGCCTCCCGATGGACCTCTTGGCCAAGGTGGAACGCGGCCAGGAGGTCAAGGCTTTGGCAGAGCAGCTGGTGGCCATGCGCCAATCTTAATGGAGGAGAGGGATAGGAAAGATGAGCTATCAGCAGGATATTACATGAAGGGATGCAGTGTTTTTCAACCAGGGTGCTGCAGGACGTCTTGAGAGAAATTAATTAAACATCTGTTTTGGGATGAAAAAAATTCAATTTTGTTAAGAACAAAAATCATGATTAGAAACTGCTATGTATTTAAATGAAGAAACAACTTTTTGAAGACAATTAAGTGTCCTTTTTCCTCGCTCTCTTAGCTCACTCGCAACATTTAGAAACAGTATGATTTTAGGCAGTGAAGTGCCTGAATATCTCTTTTAACACTGAGGTTTCTGAATATTGTTACATTATTTGAAATAACCTGTCTTTATTACTCCATCTCTCGCCCGTGATGTGATAATGAGCTAGTGTATCTAGTGAATGCCTTCATGACATCTCCAATAAATAACATACCAAGTTACGCCCAAATGTATCATATTTATAAAAAAAAACATAAGTCACGCACAGATATCTACTGGTGTTTAGTACATTATATTCAGATATAATATTTAATCTAATGTGGTTTTTGTGTTTCTATATTTAGATATGTGTCTATTTTCTTGGAAATGCATACCTTGAGCCCTCTCATCACTTGTCTCTTCTGTTTTCAGACAACCAAAGTGTGTAACTTCAATTCAAATTAACTAAATATCATTCAAAGTATACTCCTAGTGTTTGTATTCACTCAAAAATGAGAGTTGTATTTGTATCATCTGTACTATGTTAAAGGGTAAATCTGTTTGAGGTTCCGGGTTCCGGGTCAACTCTCAGCCAGGCCCACGTACGTCACAACAAGGTGACATTAGATTATACAATCATATCGTCCTGTACTATACAACACACCGCTAGCAACAGTATCGATACAAAACTAGATGATAAAGTACTTGTGACAAACACTGTCATAGGTTTTAATCAAATTTCTATAAGAACAAACCATCTGATTTCAAGATAATCATTATATATAAGGGCCAAGAGAATCATTATAGCAGCTAGAGGCTGACAACGTGGCTCTTACTTTTGCTAGATAATGGGAAATAGTTGTTTGATGACTCGAAATGATTGTCATTATGCAAAGGATAAAAATAATGATATTCATAATACAACTCAATTGAAATCATTGAGTATAATATTTCATTTATTTTACTGGATTTATTGACAGCACATGTATTAGTTTTATGCAATCTTGTTTTCTTATCGTAAGAAAAGATGCAATTTCAACCCCACCTGTGATGAATATGTAGAATTGTAGAAATTGTAGAAATGTATTGTGCCATATTTTTATAGTCATAACCTTGATCAAGTATAATTACTAGGAATACGACCGCGGAAATACCAAAGGAAATGTGTGTAATATATGTATACATATGTATCTGTGTTAAGAGGTTTCTACATTTATCTTTGAAAGAATATGTCCATGTTCTGCATTGCTTTTGTATAGAGTAAGGCTTATTCAGTTTTCATTATTTGTGTTGTTACTTTGTGTGAAAAAGTATGCAAATTTATAAGCATATTTATAGCAAATATAATCGAGTCCACCTTGAGCAATAACTGTATACATTTCTTCAGAGTGCAATTCTGTTACTGATAGAGATCAATTTAATTGTATTTAACTTGTAGGATCAAATCCTTTTAGAATTTTAAATTTCATATATCATTAATCACTCTCGTGTTTGTTTGTGTAATCAAGTTACTTATGTCAGACCAGGGAGATGTCAGTTATAGCTGACATCTGACAATCGATCTGTGAAAGGAAGTACATAGCTGACAACCATTCCTATTTTGGAGGAATGATTGCTGTTATTTGGCCTTCAAGCTACTGTTTTGAACCCTAGATGCCTCACTTTTCCTAATATATGGCCCAGCTTTTCAGCAGTCCCCTCCATGACCAGCCTGCTTTATATGCCTGTTGTATACTAGGGACCAATTACAAATATATTGTTAAGTTTCATTGTTTTACTATGTACAATGCAATCCCATGTACTTTATTTATTTTGTTGGAAATGGAAATAAACAAAATGAAAATGAAAAATATTCTGTGTGAAAAGAATACAAAATAGACTGTATTCCTAATTTTGCCTGGGAAAATCCCAACATTTTGGTGTGAAAGGTTGGCAGGTATGTTACCCAAAACATGTTTTGAAGTTTCAAGCGAAATGTTTGTTACTTTGTGTAAAAAAGAGAAAAGAAATTTATTAATTTCTCCATTAGCAATAATGTCCAAGCCTTGATGATCTTGAGTATATTAGTCAGTTCCTTGAACTCATCAGTTTTGTTTATTTTCCATCAGGTACATACACTATGAACATGACAGACAAAGAAAGCGGACAAAATATACAGTTCCTCAGGTAGACGAAGGAACATCCCTTCACTGCTATTATGTAAAAAGGTGAATATGCCTGTGACACCTGTTCTACACATGTTTACATAATAGCAGTGAAGGGATGTTCTTTTGTCTACCTGAGGAACTGTACATTTTGTCCGCTTTCTTTGTCAGTCATGTTCATAGTGATATTGTCTGTTTGGAGCCAAAAGGGCGGTAACTCATCTCCTGTTAACTCCTTCTGGCTCTGAACAGTCTGTATCATGTGTGAATATGAATGTAGTCAGATGGTGTAGATGATCTTCTCAGTCAGTCAGTGCTATTTGTTAAGAAAATGTAATGTTTCTCTTTCTTCTGATAGATAAAGTACAATACAGCATTCTATTGATACTATGTAGTTATGAATAAATAAGCAATATGCATAAACATGTTTTCATTTTCTTTATTTTTCTCTTTTAATTAGATTCTTTGAAACTGGTGCAATGTCAGTCCTGAATTTTGTAAACAACATTTCAATAATTTTTCAGAAAAAAGAAACTCATGCTCTTATGACTTTCAATTCTGATAGTTGTTTATATCTGATGGGTTTATATTGCAAAATAATATGTTCATAAAATAAGGAGGTAATCATCCCACATGGAAGCCTGTTTACAGAAGAGGTTCATTTGGATGATGATGATGGTGTGGGTGGTGGTGATGGTGATGGTGATGGTGGTGTGAGTGGTGGTGATGGTGCTGGTGGTGGTGGTGTGGGTGGTGGTGCTGGTGGTGTGGGTGGTGGTGCTGGTGGTGGTGGTGATGGTGGTGGTGATGGTGGTGGTGGTGGTGGTGGTGGTGGTGGTGGTGATGGTGATGGTGGTGTGGGTGGTGGTGATGGTGATGGTGATGGTGGTGTGGGTGGTGGTGATGGTGGTGTGGGTGGTGGTGTTGGTGGTGGGGTGATGGTGGTGGTGATGGTGGTGGTGGTGGTGGTGTTGATGGTGATGGTGGTGTGGGTAGTGGTGATGGTGATGGTGGTGTGGGTGATGGTGATGGTGGTGGTGTGGGTGGTGGTGCTGGTGGTGGTGGTGATGGTGGTGGTGGTGGTGGTGGTGCTGGTGGTGCTGGTGGTGGTGGTGATGGTGGTGGTGATGGTGGTGGTGGTGGTGGTGGTGGTGATGGTGATGGTGGTGTGGGTGGTGGTGATGGTGATGGTGATGGTGGTGTGGGTGGTGGTGATGGTGGTGTGGGTGGTGGTGTTGGTGGTGGGGTGATGGTGGTGGTGATGGTGGTGGTGGTGGTGGTGTTGATGGTGATGGTGGTGTGGGTAGTGGTGATGGTGATGGTGGTGTGGGTGATGGTGATGGTGGTGGTGTGGGTGGTGGTGCTGGTGGTGGTGGTGATGGTGGTGGTGGTGGTGGTGGTGGTGGTGGTGATGGTGGTGTGGGTGGTGGTGATGGTGATGGTGATGGTGGTGGAGGTGATGGTGTTGTGGGTGGTGGTGCTGGTGGTGGTGGTGATGGTGGTGGTGATGGTGGTGGTGGTGGTGGTGTTGATGGTGATGGTGGTGTGGGTAGTGGTGATGTTGATGGTGGTGTGGGTGATGGTGATGGTGGTGGTGATGGTGATGGTGGTGTGGGTGGTGGTGATGGTGATGGTGGTGTGGGTGGTGGTGTGGGTGGTGGTGATGGTGATGGTGGTGTGGGTGGTGGTGATGGTGATGGTGGTGTGGGTGGTGGTGTGGGTGGTGGTGATGGTGATGGTGGTGTGGGTGGCGGTGTTGATGGTGATGATGGTGGTGGTGGTGGTGATATGGTGCTGATGGTGATGGTCATGATGCTGATAGTGACAATATGATGCTTGTGGTAGTGGTGGATGATGATAACAATGGTAATGGTGATGATGATGTCGGTGATGATGGCGATGATGATGATGGTGATGATGATGTCGGTGATGATGATGATGATGGGGATGATGATGATAGTGATGGGGAAATGTTAATCACTATGGAAGAGCTAGGCCGAAGAAGATGATGGTGAGAACAACGATGTTGATGCTGCTGATAGAGACGAGGGGGGGGGGGGGTGATAATTACTATTTTACTGTGATGATCATGATCATACTGGTATGAGGAATTTAAGACAATAATCATGGGCAGGGGAGTCAAAAGACTATTTTGAAGGGTTGAGCTTTGGACCAAATTTGCTGTCAAGAAAGTATGAAAAATAAAGCAGGATAAGAATTGTTATTTGATGACAATTAGGCATTAAAATTCAAATTTGCAATTATAAATCTTGAATATTGCACCCCACCTCCCCACAGTGATGTTTGAGATTATGAGGGATAAAGCTGATTGCAAGGATGCATGATGATGATTATGATGACGATGATAACAATGATGAATTGTTGTGATGGCAATTTATACCACAAAAACTGGATGCTCGTTTAAAATCACTTTTTGAATCACTGACAACAGCCGCATGTTGGTATTTTTGTTTTGGGGAATGAAAATAAAGTATATACAAAATCAATAAAGAGTATAAGCCCATAATAGTTTGTCGCCATCTAGTGCTGTTTTAGCGGATATCTATCACCGCTGCAGCTCGGATTTCGGATATTATGCATATGGACAAATTGCATATTCGACTTCGACTACCTTATCTGAATTCAATTTTGATATCAAATCTCAAGGAGATCAGCGTGACTACTGTCTGTATTTTCCTTGGAATCTGTACCCAGGATAACTGACATTTTGTTCCAAACCTCAAAATGGAACCGGGAAAAGAGCAAGCCAACGGTAGAGGAGCTACGGATCCAAACGACAAAAATCGCCGCATTTTCAAGATCATCGTCATCGGGGATTCTAACGTGGGGAAAACATGTCTCACCTACCGTTTCTGCGGCGGGGAGTTCCCCGAGAAGACCGAAGCGACGATTGGGGTCGATTTCCGGGAGAAGAATGTCACAATAGAAGGAGAAACTGTAAAGGTATGTAATATATAACTGTTTAATATTGAAATCAATAATCACCTAGCCTTAATTGGCGTCCATACTCCTATGTGAAGAGTGATGATAACAAAACCTAAATTGCATTCGTAATCCCACACTAGGGAGGCCAATGCCCAAATCTAACTTTTTAATTAGATCTACTAATTTGTTTATACTAAAACTAAGATTAAAAGAAAGCATTTACTTTCACTAAGAAAATCCACCCATCTGCCGACTCCAGAAGTTCCATCAAATAGGAGATATCCAGCTCTTTTTATCCAGCTTCCTTCTACGCCTTTCCGTACGTAAGAGCCTTGAAACAATTATATTTCATGTCGCAAAGTTACGTTCATAATTAGACAGGCCCGAGGGACAAAGTTCATGACGAAGTTTAAAACTTCGCGCGAAAGTGCAATCACTCAACAGCGGCTAGCCTTGAATCGGTCGCATACGTACACACCTTCTTCTTAGTTGATCCCTCCACCGACACAGGCAAGCCCCGATGCAGGCTGAAGTCCAGCCATCAATGTGCGAACGATTACATCTTCTACTACTACGAGCCAAAGACGATGGTTCAAAAATGAAGAATAGATATCAACATTGGTAGGAAAGAAATATATATAATTCATTGATATTTACCTTAGATGTGTATTCCAATAATTTGATTTCCTCATGAGTATTCCTTATTATCAACGATCGAGAAGTTACGAGGTCCAATTAACATCCATCTTGCAGCGAACACAATCATAGCGCACATCCATGCATGCAACGTACGTGTACTAATATTTCTCTCACTCTCTCTCTCTCTCTCTCTCTCTCCCTTTCGCTATACTTAACATACACACTCACTAACCATGTATCATACAACACACACCTTCAAATCATGGCTTTCATTTCAATTCTCAATTGGAGTATAGACTGCTCACGTAGACTTTTTTTTTTTACTGAAATATCTTTTTTACTGAAATATCTTTTTTAACACTTCTCATACATTACTGCACGACACTCGTATCTAGTACTGTGAGAATAAGGTACTAGGGTCTATAAATAAGACTACGCTTTGCGCACGATCTGACCGGAGCTCAGATTATGTCGCAATACCCTTTATTTTTGGCGCGAACAGTGACGTCACTGTTCACTGTTTTCCTTCTCATTTTGAGATGGATGTAGCTATAGGGCTCAAACCAACGCAAGATTGACAGAAACATCGTACTCTATCTACTTTCGAATGTTCAGTTTGTAAAAATCTGTATTTAAAAAGATATAATCTTTTTTCTTTATATTTTCTAGTTGTTAGAAGTGGCAATTGTGAACATCTGAAATGTTGATCTCTATCAAAAGTTCTTTACTCAAAACGGATCCCATATTTTTAGGGTCTACTTTCTGCCAATGAGAAGGTTTTTAGTGAGCAAACCTCTACGCCCTCTAGGATTTTCTTAGTCGGTGGTGCGAGTGCGTCAAGGTCGTCTGCAACCACAATTATTGGATTAAAAAACGTCAAAATCTGCAAGATTGTTAACAAATGGTGAAAGACTGTTACAGATCCGTGATTATAGGTATGTTGTGAAATGTATAATTGTATTTTCTTTTCTTATTTTCTTCAATTTTTATTTTTACATCATTTTTTTCCCTTTGCTAATTTTTTGAAGTGGGCGACGAGCGCACAAATCGTAGGTGTAGAAGCCTTACGCCCGGGCATTGGCCTCCCTACCCACACCCAACAAACCTTCAAACTACCGTTTGTTAGTGGACTCTTCTTTCTAATCAATCAAAGCACTTTGAAACCTGTCAAGAACATCTAATCACCAATGTGAACATTTGGTACCGGAGTGATTTGCTTACTTTCTATGTGTTCCTGATGATGATGAGCTAACAACATGCAATTTACATTACCAAAACAATAACCTCTCACAAGAATTTTTGGGTGCTAGTCACAAAGAACTTTGCGCATTAGGCGCTTTACAACGAGTTACACGCTCTCGTTGGCCGATCCGCTCGAGTGGCTTCGAATTTAATCGCGAGAGGAACTATTTTACTTAAGCACAACTTAGCGCAACTTAAGTTCAATGGCAAAGTCAATATGTATTATTACGTTACACCACAGAGATTTTGACACGTCCTGCTTTAAAGAGGTGACGCATTTCATACATAACTGACGCACACAAGGCATTGCAAACACATGAAGTAGAAAAATCAACGAACATCTCAGAATAAATTTCCAATTTATACCTTAAATATGACGAAAATGAGAATTGTTCAAACTTAAAAAATAGTGAAGTGAAATACTTAAGTGAAAAAATCATAACAAATAGAGGGTTTGACTGAAATATCATAATTATGAAATGCGCTATAAAAGAAAAAATTATTATTATTATTATTATTATTATTATCGAAAAAAAAATTGAAAATTGCAAGCTTGCTCCTCGCACAAATATCTTATAGCATTGAGTGAAGGCCCATGTCGGCTAGGCTAGGCGCCAACTTATGAAAGAAAATGAAGCTGAGATTGGATGAGCCATCTGGGCATGCACTAAATGTAATCTAAAGTTCTTCGTGCTAGTGTACTTTCGTATCCATTTTTGACCCGTAACTAGCCTCTTCTTCTTCTTCTGTTGAAGTACGGGCCACCATGCTGTTGGTGTATCTTCATACAAAACTTGAATTCTGTATCCTACTGGGGATGTTTAGGTATTAAATATTCTCCAGTATAGTTGAAATGTAACACAATTTCTATTTATTGTACAAAAATATTCTTACCGACCTGAAAACTCAAAATCTTCAATACAGTGCAATATTTATGAATGTCTGAAATCGTCTGATCCAGCACTAGCCTAAAGTGATGGTACTAGTGTATTGCCAAGAGAACAAAAATGACAAATAGAAGTGTAATTAACGTCATGTTAGCAACCAACCATTAGCATGCTGCAGCACATGAATTTACTTTATTTCTATTTTGTCCTCTTACTGATCACCGTGGCATGTTGCTTTCTCTATGGTGATTGTTCATGTCCCTGAAAAATATAGAGGCCCTATTCTGGAGTTTTACACAATCCAAATTCTTTTTAACTCATTTTGTTATTTTGAAATATTATTTAGATATTCCTGTATTCATTCATCTCATATTAAAAATATAATAAAGTTACTAAGATGATATCATTTCAACTTTACCCTAAGTTAGTGTTCGGATTGAAAAAAAGGCCCTCGAAATAACCGTACAGCGTACGCGTCCAATCGTTCTATATTTTTGCCTTGATTCAAGGCTTTGGACTGTTGGTTTTGTTGATGAAGATGATTACATGGCGATTTTCCATCGGCGATAGGATGATTTTCGCTGTATTGTAGTTATTCATATAATAATATTATTAGGCCTATTCATAAAGACCTATAGGACTATTCCTTTTAAATAAAATTTGTGATTCGCCGCGTTTCACTTGGCTACAAAAAGCCGACCTTACTCTCAACTGTTTAAAAGTATAAAAGTTTACATTGATAAAAGGACTTGGTAATTTTTCTCCCCTCCCTCAATAATAACAGACCTTATTTTTCGTATTGATGAACAAAACTTATATTTTCAGAAAGAAAAAAGTCTGATCTTTCATGTTTACATTTACTAAAAATCACGAAAATGACTGAATGAGGCGCAATGGGCAATGAAAGTAGAAAGCACCGCCAAATTTTCCATTGCTGGCGATGTAACCGAAATCGCTCCGTCACAGGGGAAATAATCGCCATGCGCGGGCTCACTCTCAAAGGGTTAAATAGGGAGGGAGATGTAGTTTTCAAGAGAAACTACATAAAATTTACCTGTAGATCTTCATGTACAATGTACATGTAGAGGAGATGCGTTTAATTAAGTACACTCTTCAAAAGATTAATTCCAAAGCTTTGATGCAAGACTATCGTATCCAGATGATCTTGGTGTTATGCACCTGATTTTAATCAATGATCACATGATCACTCGTCGAGATCCACACCCATTTGTACATCAACCTCAAGCAAAGGGTCCAGCTGTTAAATATTAGTATGAGTTCGTTTAAAAGAGACATACATGTACATATATTTCAATCAAGGTTGTTATTGTTTTTTTTACATGTATATATTATGACATTGAGTATTTTTAAAAAGAACCTATCCTAAGAAGAAAAAAAACTTGATATAAATGGCAAACTTTCATAATTGCACAAAAGCAAATTCAAACCTCATTTTCTGCACCCCTTCAAATTACGGGTCAACAGGGGTCAAATTTGCCAAAGTTATACAGTGACGACATAACATGTGGACCCGACCAATTCACCTACACCTGTAGCTGAGGCGATGAGCCGTGCTTAATTAATGCAAAGTCATTGTGAATATGCCTACTCCACATACAATGTATATGATAAGATGATGTCATCAAGTTGATAGCAAATTTTTAGGTCAACAACTTCCAATTTTCAAAGCTTTAGATTTTGAGTTTTCAGAGAGCTGACACTCCTCGGACAGACACTAAAATGGCATATAATTGATACTTTTTAAATCTATGGCTTAAGCTTTCCGATGATATATAATTCATCCATTTCATTTTTCAGTTCGGATATACGCTATATGCATGTACATGTACATGTACCGTGCATGCCTATATTTAGGATAATATTAAAGTGATGCAAGCAAATGAGTCAATATGATCTACATGTATCCACACTCAAGTTGAGGGTGTATGCATTTATCATATGAAACCATCAGGCGGATCATTTGATTAGGATCTACAAAATGTACATGTACCTTTACATGTAGGAGTGAGTTGTATGATAAATTCTGAAATATTGGCATTCATCAATGGAATAAAAAGGTACTGTAATTTGGAAAGCATACTTGGAATTAAATTCATTATTCATGATAACATGAACTACCATTAATTGTAACAAAGCAGATATTTGGTTTCCATTTAGATAAATATCAAATTGGTAAAGCCTCATTTTCACTTTGGTAAACATGCATACACATGCAATTACAACCATTAC